ACCGAATTGTTTCTTTTTTCAGCAGCAGACATTTTTTTCCAGAGAGCAGGGTAGCTGATGGTGAATACAATGCTGATATGTGACCCTGGAGTCTTAAAGGAACACTCCACTATTTTTGAAAATAGGCTCATTTTCCAACTCCCCTAGAGTTAAACAGTTGAGTTTTACCGTTTTCGAATCCATTCAGCCGATCTCCGGGTCTGGCGGTAGCACTTTTAGCTGTAGCTTAGCATAGATCATTGAATCTGATTAGACCGTTAGCATCTCGCTCAAAAATGACCAAAGAGTTTCTATATTTTTCCTATTTAAAACTTGACTCTTCTGTAGTTACATCGTGTACTAAGACCGACGGAAAATGAAAAGTTGCGATTTTCTAGGCCGATATGGCTAGGAACTATACATATTATTATTATATATTACTATATATATATATTACTATATATTACGCAGCGCCTGAAAATAGTCCCCAGCACGCTCCCTGTGCAAGCAGGTGGTCACGTTGGTTATGTTCACGGAAGTTAGCCTATTTTCAGGCGCTGCGTAATATCACCCATAGTACGGCAGCAAAGTTCCTTGATTATTACGCTGGAATGAGAGTATAGTTCCTAGCCATATCGGCCTAGAAAATCACAACTTTTCATTTTCCGTCGGTCTTAGTACACGATGTAACTACAGAAGAGTCAAGTTTTAAATAGGAAAAATATAGAAACTCTTTGGTCATTTTTGAGCGAGATGCTAACGGTCTAATCAGATTCAATGATCTATGCTAAGCTACAGCTAAAAGTGCTACCGCCAAACCCGGAGATCGGCTGAATGGATTCGAAAAACGGTAAAACTCAACTGTTTAACTCTAGGGGAGTTGGAAAATGAGACTATTTTCAAAAATAGTGGCGTGTTCTTTAAGTCGCTGGGGTATATTTGTAGCAATAGCCAAAAATACATTGTATGGATAAATCTCAATTTCGAAAAAATTACCCTTATGACTGGTTTTGTGGTCCAGGGTCACATATGTGGGTTTCTACAACAATGGGCCCTTTTATAAAAACTCACACAGTTCAGTGTTTTTCTTTTAATTGTTCTATGAATGTAACATAAAATGTAATCTGTAAAACATGTTTTACTATGGCTTTCTGATTTACTGAAATAAAAGACAAAAATACCATTTTGGTATTTATTGTGTGAAAATTAATTATACTCATTTTTACACAAATTATGACTGTTGCACAGTTGTGATGTCATTTCTCACAAACGGATTTGTCACTAATAAATTGCTATCTAAAGTCAGTGTGCTTGGTGCAGCGTCAGTGAAGAGCATGTTTCAGATGAAATATGAGACATGTGATGTGCAATAATAGATAAATATTACTTAACATTTATCTTAATATTACAAGTTAATATTTAACAATTTCCAATCAAACTGTACTTTTGTTAAATTATGCAAACATTATGACATTTATTTAATAATGCTAACTATGAAACTAGACTAGTAGTTGTCCATTTTATTACAAAAAAAATATTTAAAATGTCATTTAAATCACAAAAATTTGAAAAAATAACAGGATGCTCCTGTAACGCATGTACATACATTTTTGGACAATGTGAGCATGTGAAAAGTGTGTGGGAGCTTATTTTCTAAATGAGATGTACACAAGATTTTTTTTTTTGCATAATAATACTAAAAATGAACTGAACTAAAAGCAGAAATTGTTCATAATCCATTGACAAGTCCTTCAAATTGTGGAACTGAAGCAAGGGTTTTGGCTATCCGTTCCATTAATGGGTCATGTGCACATGCGCCCTTGTGGAAAAAAAATAAATAATAACAACAATAATTATAAGTGCAAACTGAATGTATTGTTTTTGGACACTTAATTGCATGTTATTTACAATTAAATGAAAATATATTGTAGTTTAAATTTAAATTAAATGTAATTACTAGGGCTGGGTTTTGACACAATTTTCACAATTCGATTCGATTCTCATTCATAAGCATGCGATTCGATTACCAATTCGATTCAATATCGATTATTTTGGATACATATCAGGTACAGTACATGCCAAATTTTCTGAAGGAAAAAAAATGCTGTAAAATATACATGAGAGTCAGTTGGTACTACATTACTATAATATTGAAGGTTAAAATTGACTGATTTGTTAAAATTACACTTAATGAAGTTTTTAAAATAAAAAAGTTACAATTAGCCTACATAATAATATTTCTACTTCAATTCGTTTTTTTAAAAAATATAAACATAGGCCTAATGGTGGCTGTCATAAAAACTTGATGGATTTATTCAAACATAAATTAAACTTTGAAGAACAGTAAAATTTATAATGAATATGTTATATGGCGCATACATTTAGCAAAATGCCCCTCTCTACAGTTTATTTTGAGTTTTTCTGAGGTAAATGTGACGTTGTTTACAAGCCGTTATATTGACGTCTTTGCGCGGCTGAAACAC